TGGCCACGTGGTTCCGAGCCAATGCGCTCGACTTCCTCATCATTGCCGACTCTGACTTACCAGCCCACAAGGCCACACAACTATGGACACCTGCACATGGGGGAACACACGCACCCTGCCTGATGGCTGTTAGCAACCACCGTGTTAGCCTACTCTACGACATACAACGCTGGCACTCCCGCATCGACGCACGCTGTACCATATACTCCCCCTCCGGGCGTAGTATTGCTATCACACTCCGCCTAGGCAAAGGTACACTTGTCACCCTAATCGGCACGTACTGTCAAGACAACCCCGCCGCCCACAAGGAAGCCACGGACAGAGAATGGCAATGGCTAGCACAGGCAGCTACCCGAGCCACGGGCCCCCACCACTTGGTGGTCATGGGAGGGGATTTCAACACATATGGGCCAAACCCCCTCGACCGGTTGGCTCCAACACCAAGAGGCAGCCCCAGCAGTGACATTGGCATCGCCTTCCAACAATGGACGCAGAGCACAGGCCTTGTCTCCTCCTTCCGTCACCGCCACCCTAACCTCCAACGGCACACATACGCCCGCAACAACACGGCCGTCGCTCTCGATGACATCTGCATCTCAGCCCAAACAGCCCACAAAGTAGGAGCCAGTGGCATCTGGCTGCACACAATCCACTCCAGCGACCATGCAGGCACTCCATATATGGCCCTCGACCTGTGCCCTGGCGACCACACCCCCACACGACTTACTGGGGTCAAACCCATCCGCGTTGTCAACACCCGCAACCTTGCAAAGGCTGACATAGCATCCTTCGGTGTACACACATCCAAACTCCTCAGCGAGGGCAAACTACCCCAACTCACCCCAGCACCCCCCCCTAACGCAGTCACAGCATGGTCCCCCCAGGAAATCGGGGACTGGCTCGATGGCGACATCCGCAACCTGTACGACATCCTCTACAACAGCGCGAAACTCAAATGGGGGGAAACAAGCCAAACTCGGAAAGCCCTCAACAGGGCAGTAGCGATACAGCGAACCAACCGGTGCACCGCTCAGCTCCGCCAACTGCTGCGCCTCCACGAGGCGGCCCCGCGCACTGGCACGGAATATACCCGACTCGCCCACCTCGTGGAATGGCCCAAGTGGATCCGTGACCCCAACCTTCTCCCACCCACGTGCTGGCACCGCGCTGATGCTATTGCCATAGGAGAATGGTGGACTACCATGCCGACCACACAGCACCCCACTCCAGACTGGGACCACTGGCTCAGACAGGGCATCGCGCGCTGGACCAAGGTCTGCCGCAAACGTCAGGACTGGCGAACTACCAGCCTACGCCTAACACGGATGCAACAACGTACGGCTTGGTTTAACCGCAGTCAAACCCGGAAATTTCTCCGCTCGGCCCTGGGCAATACTACTCCGCCCATCTCTATACAAAGCGTAATTGTCCGCCCAACGGATGGACCTCCGCGATACAGCTCCAACCGCGAAGAAGTGGCCGCGGGCCTCCGCCACCTACTGGACAACTGGATCCCCCCGGGGGGAAAAACAACGCGCCCCAGGCACCTCGACTCAGGCCTTGAAACTGACCGCCAAAAAGTTCCCCATTTCGTCCGCGACTGGCTACTCCAGGACATGGACCGACCTGACGAAGTTGCACAAGCCTTCTAATCCTCTGCGGGCACTACCTGGGACACCTACCACTACGACGAAGACATGCAAGCCCGCTGCGACAGCAGCCTCCGCACACGCGTATCCCCAGGATATGGGGGCGTCTCCCAGGAACTCTGGATTGCTGCCCCTGCATGCATACGAGCCAGGGAACGGGTGATCATCAACCTCATCCTACGCACGGGCCTAGTCCCACCGATACTCGGACGAAAACAGATGATCTACCTGGCAAAATCGGATACGGCCCACGGGGTGGTTAATTTAGACCCTGGCCTCCCACCCTGGCGCCCCATCACGGTTCAAAGCGCTCTCAGCAGTCGAATCTTTACCGTTATACGGGACTACATCACCCCCTGTATCCCCAACCACGAAATGCAACACGGCTTCCAGCGCGACCGCACGGTTCAGGACGCCGCTGTCCTTACCACACTCCTTATCGAACGCGCCGAACGTCGGCAGGAAGAACTCTTCCTTATTTCTAAGGACTGCCTCAAATGCTTCGACCGCATCCCGGGATGGGTCATGGAATACATCTACCGTAAACTCGGTGTCCCCCCCATACCACGCCAACTCATGGCACACTTCCTTGGGGCCAGTCAAATCGATATCCGCACGGCCTTTGGCTGGCTCGATGGCGGCATCCGGGAATTCGGACTGGGCCAAGGTTCAATCCTAGCGGTCATGCATATTGGATACTATATGGACGTCCTCCTACGCCAGCAACACAGTGGCCTTGACCCTGTCCGCATTGTGCACAGCCAACACCCTCAGGGCGCCCACACCCGCACCATCTCCAGCCTCCTATTCGTGGATGACGCCCTCGACATTGCGACCACCTATGCTGGCATACAAGACCGAGCACGCATCTCCAACACCTTCACAGGCCAATCCCCGTCCGGTGGAGTATTCGGTGCTGACAAATCCTTCCTCCCCTACCTATCCCCACATGCGCACCCGGCCATTGCCCTCAACGACAGGCTCGGCGTTCCACAACCCATCCGCGTGGTCGCACCCTCAGAGGGTCCTCAAGCTACCCCACGACCACCCCACAGAGTGGTTCTATGACCCAACCCATGGACTGGGACTGGTCCACTGTGAACGTTTCAGCCACAGCCAACGCTTATACCACTTCCTCCGTATTGCCAACGACCGAGGCTCCCCTACACATGACCTCCTCATGGAATCACTCGAGGCCTACCAACTGGATAGCGGGCTTACGGACCACCCCCTCGCCTTCCGCATACACCCACCTGCCGCAGACGGCACACTTCTAGGCACGATGCTCCGGGACCTTGCCACTTTCCAGCCCACCCTCACCATCACTACGCAATGGTACAAACCAGCCGCCAGCCGTCCGCTCCGTCCCAATGACCGCCCGATCTGGGCTCACCTTACACCGGCCCTGAGCACGACCCTCATATCCATCAACAAGCTCCACGCCAAAAAGGTACGCTGGGTGGGGGACATCACAAATGACAAGGGCACCATTCTGCTCAGCCTACCGTCCCTCCGTACGAAGTTTGGATGGACAAATCTCACGCTTCAACGGTTTGCACCCATTTGGGACGCTATCCCCAAGGCCGAGCCACCCGCCCCACCGGTACTCCAACAACAAACGCTACAGTGGGGGCCCCATCCTACCTCCCAACACCTGCCTCCCCCACGGCAAAACCCTTATCGCACGTCCCTACCATACCTCACACACCCCCTCGGTCGCACATATTTTGTTCCCACACAGGGCTACGAAACTCTACATATCCCGGTTCACGCCATGCTAGTAATCCCACACCACCTAACTCACCCAGATAACCGACCCCCCACCCTCAGCTACCGCATTGGACGACGAACTAGCCTCCAAACACGCCAAACCCAGGAAGGCACGGAGATTGCCGTCACCTTCTGGCATGAACTACGTAAAGACTCGGACATCTGGTACTCCCCAACACCGCGCGAAGCACGAGGCCGACACCGCCTGGTACCCATTACGGGCTGTGCTGTACTTACAGGCAGCCTCCTACCCACCAGCCGAGCCCAACGCCTCAAGTTTATTCCCTGGACCGACACGGCCTGGACCAACCCACGCACACACATCACCCACAAAGGGGAAAACAATCGTACCATCATTGCCTCAACTACCGGACAAACTACTCACCTGGTACCGAACGCTACGGGGCACCAGCCCCCCCTGCACGCGACGCCAGCCTGTACCGCCTGTCACCGCCTAGCGGACACTACCATCTGTCGCGATTGTGGGGGTTGGCATCACCCGGCATGCATCCCACACTGCCGCGTCGTTCCGCACCACAGCACACCGACGTACGGTCTACATACCCTCCCCCGACGGGACGTCCGCACCCATGCGGTAGGTGACGGCAGCGTCACGCACCAAGGAACCCCGGCCGCGCACGGTACATGGAGCTACATGGGCAGAGACGGTACTACCCTCGCTGGGTCCATCCAAGTACACGCCAACCACATCACACCCACACGCTGTGAACTCCATAGCCTGCTAGGGCCTCCAGCACTCTGGCGATGCTGCGCTCCAAATCTGCGACAACACAAAAGCCATTGGATTGGTTGTTCTCGCCAGATCCCTCAAACGCCGCGGTGGCCTCCCCCGCTACAGCAACATCTACAGGGTCGAACTCCGCTCACTGATGGCGCTCTTCACAGACAACGGAACCTTTACCGGCGACTGGACCCGAGCGCACCAGGACCCCGATGACACGACTGATCCCACCATCCGAACAAAACGCCTATTGCTCGCCGAAGCGGACTCACTTGCCGCCCTAGCCCACCAGCTTCTTCCACTTACGAATTATGCGAACCTCATTATCCCAGACTCATGGGAGCTGCGGGATGAACACGACAGGCCGGTCACTGGGCCGACCGCCCCATGGCTAGGAGCAGTGTACGGACGTCGAGATTGGCCCAAGGTACAAGCCAGCAAACCAGACACCCGCCGGACTGTTCAGCCACTCCGACTCCCCACCGGGGACATCTGTAAATGGGACCCCCCTGCCCTCAACTTCTACTGGCGCGCCATCTGCTATACTTTACACACCAACGCCCGCAAACACCGCATACAACCACGCTGGGAGGCCCACTGCCGCACGTGCCCCGATCTCCCTGACACGCAGGAACACCGATTCGGCCTCACAACTCCCACCTGCCCCAAGGCCGTCGCACTATCCCAACACATCCTTCTCGCTACACAGGTGGTCCTTCCACAAGGCTGGCTACCCGACCAAGACATATACATCCCTGGGCATGGCACGACCATAGCACAACTCTGGCCTGGACCTAAACGCCCACAATGGAAAACCCGCAGCGGTCACCCATCCCCCAACACGGGTATGTGCATGATCCCCCTTACCGCGCACCGCTGTATACATGCCCTACACATGCACCGCCTCCTTTACCCCCCGACCAGAACCCCTCATGCTAGCCACCTCCCAGCTATCCTGGGAATCGAACCAGTGCCCAAAGCCGGGACCCCTTCTACCGCGCTGGCTATACCACTCCGCCCTACGCTCCACCCCCCTGCTTGCACCACGCGACTTCTGGTTCGGACAGTGGATGGGCGGTCCCAATGGTGCTACTTTTCAGGGCCCACTTGGCCTCTCCCCCCACTGCATAATCCCCCGTCCCCCAACAAACCATCACTGGTGGATTGATGCCACGCACAACCCATACACCCCCACTTGGTGGCGCCTCCTAAACACGGCAATACAATCCGCTTCCTCTCACCAAACACCGGCCACCTACTGGCTTGTCGTACACGATGGCTCCTGCGGCCATAAAATGGCTGATCAGCTCCAAACAACATGGCTACTCACCATTCCCCCGGACCAGATCCAACTCCGTCACGTATCCTCCGTATATCACACCACTACCCCAACCTGGGGTAAACTCGCTTCCGGCAATCCCACGGCAATCCACATTGGTTTCATTACCACTGGCAACACAGTAGCCCTACTCGCCTCTGCCCAGCAGCACTGGACAGCAGCACTCACGTTAATCGATGCTATCCATTGGCTCCGACGTCCTCCCCCGACCACACAACTCCGCCCAGAAGAAACTAACACGACGGCCATCCCACGAATACTTAGTGCCCCCACACACTGCCTCCACTGGGTCCAAACATCCATTCCCACATACGACCTTTACGCCCTTGACACACGCGCATTCCTCACGACACAGTTTCCGGCCATTTACCAAGCTACCTCCGGCTGGAAAACCTTCCCTACCATGACACACACCACACGAGCATGGGCAGCCGCCCTCACCCACCTCCACGCTCCTCGTTTCCATACTAACTGGTTCAAGGCGCACTGGGCCGCCCTTCGCCGCCACTGGCAATCGACGTGCACTACTAATGTGGACCACATACGC